CTGCAATGTTCTACGTATAGATTCGAACATCACAACTCTGTTGTTAAGAGACAGGTGTCGACTATTTTTGTTGGAGAGTCGAATTACATAACTGAAATCTGTATTAGAACACGTTCCGACACTAAACATGTTCTATCTCATCCAACATGCATTTTTATACCTAGTATATACAAGGTCTTATTGAAATACTCAATGACAATTTAAAATGTTGATACTACGCTCACAATACAATGTTGCTAGTTAAAATAATTAATTTTCATAGATGTTTATTATTAACTCAATCAAAGAAATCGCACCAAAACACACTAAACGCCTAGTCTAGTATATTAGCTTTTCGTTTTATACATATTTAATTTGTAAGAACCTTGCAGCTGGATTTGTAACACAAGGACGGTTAGTTTTCTCCTACCACACGATAGTTCGAGGTTTTATGTAAAGTTAATAATTTTGTACATTATTCAAATCTTGACACCAAATTGTACATTCAGTAACCTTTACTATTTTGCTACATATAAAGGTAATTTTCGTGAAGTGAAATTTTGTACTTATTTAAAGATCTGTATTTTTTTAAATAAAATTTAGACCCACTCTGTTCTAGCCTAGTTCCACAACCTTGGCCAGATAATCGATCATAACGTGCTCATAATAGTGAGTTACGCCCACGTATGAAAAACATTACGTAGTATCTATATTAAAAATCGCGGGGGTTGTTTTTCATTTATCTGTACTTCTATACTATTATAATAAAGCGTAAACACGCACTACTTTGTCGTAGGATGTCAGCAATAACAGAATATTTTTCAATAATTCTTTCTTTGATAAAAAGTCCTACACTTTTGACACGCTTTAAGCTATATATTTTCACGATATTAAACTTAGAGGGTAAATAAATTGGGAAACGGAGCATAAACTACAAGCTGCCAACATTAAGGAAGCATTAAGGTAACGGTAATTTGACAAATGTAAATAATGAAATAAAGTATTTATAATTTCATTCGGATAAAGCCGCAGGGGAACAGCTAGTTTTTTATACAACCGATGTATACGATAGAAAACCAATGAATATTTTACATTGCAAATATTTTTTCCGAGCACAAACGTCTCAAGGACTGCTCTATATTTTGTCGCAGAAAAATCAAAAATAGTTTATACGCAGTTTCAGTTTTCATACAACTAGGTGATGAAGTCAATCACAGTCGAGAATAGCAAATGGAGCGGCGTGCATCGTGAGGTGCGATTAGAAACCACAAAAGATAATAAACTAATTATAGTGCCAGTTGCACCGCCGCGGACACTGATATGTTATCGAAGTTTGTATGAAGCAAACACGATTCTTACAGCATTACAAGGTTTCAACTTTCACAAAGAAATTTTACGGGAGCTTCATATCCTTATTACTATTATTATTTTTTTGTTACTAAATACTCCTTAATAAAACATGATATACTGTGCTCTGTTTTAACATTTTATGATGCACTTCATGGATAGTTAATGTCTCAGGAAACTCTTATCTTATTATTGGATACACAGAAAGAACTTCCAAAAAAGGTTCTTGCTTTTAGCACTTTTTTGGTTAACGGAGAATTCACTTTTCCATTTAAATTCGTATCTTAATATGACATATAAGCCGTTTATGGGAAATCTATTTCACATAAATATTATCTACTTGAAATCTATGGGAGAACAATAAATATAAACACGATACTTATATAAGTCGGATACCAAAACAACCTTGTACTAACACAAGTTACTAAGAATGGCTGCATTACAAAGGATCCAGCCACCTGCGTCATAAGATTGCTGCTAACACAAGTTACGTGCATACAATTTTTTCTAAAACCTTTCGTACAAAGTAATCGTAGGTACAATATGTAGGAGGGGTCGCGCTAGTTCTCTTGACAAAAGCGAATGCAACCACATCTTACTCGTGGTTCACATGCAGGTGTGTATGTTCACACACTCAGCTTTGTGTTTTATGCACTTTTTCCGTACATCCATGTCCCACATTACAATAAAACTAAACATTTTTAATCCCTTTGGATACACACGATTCATTGTTCCATTGCATCTCCGTTTTAGCAGCTGAGACGGACAAAGAAAAATCCATGCAACATATTTTCAAGGACTTGTTGTTTGACTTTCGAAATACGGATACGGAAACTATCGAGATTATAAAGTAAACGTAAGAGTTTGAATTATACTTTATCCCAAGGTCAACATATTGCTAAACAACAATACAAGACTCGTTTCACATACCATATCTGACACGACACTGCACATTACAATTGCATTTAACAAGTCCATTTCTAGACGAATGATAATTAATAAATTCTGAGAAGGATCCAATACAGAGATGTAGAGTTTTAATAATGTATAGGAACATTGTAGGGAGAGGAGAGGTGAGGGTATCGGCGGGTGCGGTGCCGACTGGCGGCGGCGGCGACGCTCGTCGGATCGATACCGTGGCGGCCCAGCGGCCCAGCGCTTGCCGCCTCGCCCTCGCTCACCTCACCTTGTCCCCGTGCCAATCCGCTGCCACAAACACTCACCCGATCGCTAAAATCTATAATAACTTTCACAACACAAATGAAAAACAATTCGACCATTTTTAAATTTAAAACAAAGCAAATAAAATCTGATGGTTAATGAAATGGGTATCTACAACATTAGGAAAACTCTGTTTATTATGTTTTAATATTTCCCGTAAGTTAGATCAGAGGTCGCGAATGTCGAGAATATATTAATACCTATGGTAGTTTTTAATTTGTTGCTAAAATAAGTTGCGTTGATTCGGTAATAAAACATTGTTCGATATTAATTGCTTTTCATTTAAAATTTCATATAATCGTCTGTATGTTATAAACCGAAAGGTATACATTGTAAATTAACACATTTAAGACATGCCTGGAACGCAGCAAACCATTTGACCTATGCTAACTTTAACAGTGTCTTAGACCAGAATAGCTTCTTGTAAAGCGAAGTGGAGGTAAAAGGTCAAGTGAGTAACAAGGTAAAAGGTAAATTACCATCGACAAACCAGGCAACAACTGAAGAGTTACTGACGCTTTGGCTTCTGGGAAGAGGAATAAGATAAAGAAATAAGTAAAGCAACGTATGAGAAACGCAATGCTCATGCGGCATCTTGACGAAAAGTAGAAGAAATATGAGTGCTAACTGCTATTATCTGTCTAAACATTAAGTCATCGTGATATTTAGATTTATGTTACAATAATACTGTGAAATCAAAGCAACGATAGCAAATGCAGAGACGAGAGTATTGAGTTTCGCAACAATAAGCACAGGGGAAAGCGTCCACATCTCCCTCCGTTACGCTAATACTACTCCGCTCGAGACCGATGCACGCCTATAGTTTGTCTAAATAAGGATGATTAGTTTGACAATTTAGTAAGGATACGTATCTTCTCCTTTTGCGATTTTTACTTTCAGAGAAGTTGGGATCGACAGATTCATAGTTATACCTTATGTATCAAAACAAAAAACTGTTTTTTTCATTCGGTTTTTTATAGTCAAATCAATAATGAGAAATACAAAATAGACGTTGTGGGGCCTGTTCGGCTATGCTCGCCTCGGCGGGTGCCCTCCTTAATTTTAATTTGATATTTTTTTGATTAAACTGAGTATCGATACTTCATAGTTATTTCCTACGCGCTTATATTTCGTCACATGATTTCGTCTATTAAAAAGAGTATTTAGCTTCATACAAATTTTATTCGACATTTGCGTGATTTATCAAACTTATCAACCTAATTAGAGTATTTAAATTGACAAGTCAATTACATTATCAGGTTCATTTGACACAAATAACATAACTTACATTAAAAACAAAAAATCCACAATTGAGGATGTGTTATTACATTAATGATACCGATAAACGTAAGTATCTTGGTAATATAGGACAATAGAATTTCTTTTATTATATTCTCACCAAGATAGATACAATGACTCATATGCCATGACATGCAAAGCGGGAGAATTCCACTCAACATAAAATTCCCTGACGTCTACAATAGAAAAAAAGAAAATTGTAATTTGGCTATAGTCTACAACAAATAATATGGATATACCTACACTAAAGTGTGCAAGCCTATTCTAAGTTAGACATCACGAGGCTTTCGTCAACCATGTTGGCCCAGTGTGAATTAGTTATCTTGCATCATAGTTTTCATTCACCGCAAAATAGGATTAACGAGCATGTCTAATTTAAAAGTAATAGACGGAGTGAAAACAGCACTTCTAGATTACAATGTTATGACGACGATAACCCCTAAATTATCAATGTTACTATTTAGCTATAATTTTTCCTAAAAAACATATTTCAAATTAATTTAAAATATCAAATTTTCACATCTTTGTGGAACTAAAGATCCAGTATTGCATAATAATATTGTACTCATACTATAGCGAGTACATAATACTTCTAGAACCTTGGGTAGCGCTTAGTAAATGTGAAATTTTCAAATATTTTGTATACATTACGGAAAAGTGTACAAGAATAAATAGGCTTTGTGAAAAAGTCACCCTATAAATTTATTTAGCACTTAGTTTAGTTGCTAATTAAGAATTAACCTAAACTAAACCATGTTAGTACTTTAGTAAAGAGATCAATGTAAATGAAGTAATTATTTATACCTATACAAAGTAATTTTAGAATATTATTCAAAAGTCAATATTGTGCTAATTTTAACAAAATGCGTCTTAATGAAAGTTTGTTGCTCAGAGGAAATCTGAATAATCTTAAATGGAAATGTTGTGTAAATTGTTGAAAGTAAAACATACCACATTTTATTTATAAGAAATGTTATTGTTTTAAATGATCTATTTAACATCTTATCGTTTTCTTTGTTCTTCGTTATTTGACCATCAAAAATCAATGGCAGAATAATTTAGTAATAACAAAAGGAGCAACACACGATTACTTGGAAACTTTACGAATATAATACATCAAAAAACGAAATATGATAATTTTAAGTATCACTTACCCACAGACAAAAGGTTTTCAAGTGTGAAACCAAGTAATGGAACAAGTCACCTTACTTTAATAAACACATCGCGTTTCAGAAGTACGACGTAATAAAACTAAAAAGCATTTGTCGCAATGAGCGACAAAATCATAAATCGATTGATATTTTACTCAGTATGAATTTTCAAAGCATAATATTTTCACTTCAAGTTCACAAAATGTCACTGTTTGAAAATGAAATGACACTGTTCAATTTTGACCCATTAAAATTTTCACTGATTTTCAAACACTCGGAATAAAACAGCTGGCTGATACCAAAGCGTGTTTTTTTCTCATTCTGACTACCACAGACAAATAAATTGTCAGCAACATGGTGGTGTTGTCATTTCATTTGAATTGAGGTTGTACTCAAGTTGTACAGTACATTATGGTTTACCATAAACTTTAAAAGAATCTTTGACTGTTACAGAAACGGACTAGGCAAAACTCCGCCATTGTCCCATATTCATTATGCCACTTTTCGCGGAGCGGAGGTCAGGAGTGATATATTGACTAAAATGTACCGATTTACGCAAGTGAAGCAAGTTTCGAAGGTAGATTCGTTTTCATTTGATAGAAAAGTCTCCGCAAGCCTGACAGGCCCTGGTCCTTTAAAGTCAAAGAAAAGGACGGTTCGAAAAATAAATTCGTGCTACACTGTTATAAAACTCTATTACACAAAATATATTACGGCTACCGATAAACAACCATTTCAGAACAATGTAAGTAATAGTTTACATTTTCTACTACTATTTGATCTCATTATCATAAGCAATTGACAATAAACATGAAAAAGAAAAAGAAAGCGATTCGAAATAAACTGAAAAAGTTTGCAATAAAAATGCTTTATTCATTTTTCTACACTATTTTCTTTAAGAGTAAGGAAGTGTTCTCAGGACATGAAACAGTGTCATCATGAAGACAATTTTCTAAATATAAACCTTGAAAACCATAGTAACGATAAGAGGAAATTCTAAACAAATTGGTAATAATGACAATAGATTGCAATTTTATGCTACCATTTTACAAAATCTTTGCTACTTGAAGCGCTTGCCGCTTAAATAATCTGCAACTGAAATAATTTCTAGAAGTAGTTTAAGTATTTTGCAAAACGGTTTAATTTTCATGATATATAGTCATCGTCATTAGTCAAACATAAGTTTTTTAATATATCTGATGGTGATGGGATATTTTTGTCATTAATTGGCACAGTATCAATTAGGTCTTCAAGATCATCTCCAAATATTTCGAAGGTTTTATATTGCGTTGCGTTACTATCAACACAATGTGCAGAGTAATTCTGAGGATCTGATACTGATTGGAGGCTTCGATTGGTTTCGGGGAAAGCTTCTGCTATTATTGAAAAACCATCGGATTCAATGTCTTCCAAAGATAATTTTGCTCCAGTACGAACCAACTCCGCATTAGCTTCAGATATTTCTATGTAATTTAACTTATTACAAATTCCTTCATTGCTGTTAGATACTGGGTCACTTATGTATTTCTTTTTAAGTTTTTCTACAAGATCACCAGACTGCCGAACGACAGTACCAGGCGGCTGAGATTGACACTTATGTGTTCTTTGAGATACCTGGAAAAAGGAGATAAGTTTTTCAATCCGGATCCTTTAATTTTTGTTTTATTTGTACTAATTTTATAGCATTCGCGAAGGAAATAATGCCTTACTTTATATCGAAAACTTTTTTTGCAAGCTGTACATTTATAAGGCATGGCGCCGGTGTGTATTCTGCGATGCACTAAATAAGAAACACGTTGACGAAAGCATTTTCCTGTAACAATTTAACAATTTAACATGAATTTTAAAAAGGTGATTATCTTAATCTTATGTTTGAATTCTGTACACGTTTAGCTTAGGAAAGTTAAAGTTTTAAAATAAACTTACCACATGTTTCGCAGGAAAACGGTTTTTCTCCAGTATGTATACGTTGATGATTATGCAAAGTCGATAATTCTTTGAAAGCTCGATTGCAGTAATTACATACATGAGGTTTTTCATCATTGTGATAAAGCAGATGTTTATGGTAAGATTGTTGAAATGTAAAAGTTTTATTGCATTGTGTACACGCGTACGGTGTTTCTCCTGAAAGAAAATGTAACGTAAAATTATTAAAATATGATATGAGTTTATGTATTATATATGAGTTTATATATTATATAAGAAATTAAAATGTTAATCGAAAGAAATATAATTCACCTGCAAGCCTAAATAATATATTAATGCCTTAGTTTCGTTTGGTCGATTTTCGTAATAAACGAAGATATAAAGCGCAATAATTAAATGCCTCTTGTTAAAGTTAAATGTTTTTTATGATATTTCCGCAATGCCCAGTTAATAAAAATTATTTTTGATACGAATGGTATAAAGTGATATGAAAATTTGTTAGTAGTATTACCTCAAAATGAACACCAATATGTTTAACCTGTATGAAGTCGTTTGTGCTTCTTTAAAAAGTATTTTGTCGTAAAACTTTTGTGGCAAACATCGCACTGCCACTGTTTTCCATCACTCCTGTCCAGTGTAGTAGGCTTAGTTTCTATTTCACATTTTCCAATGTTTTCCTTTAACTTTGTTGTATCTGATTGGGAAGGAAAGCCGTAGTGGGCTACTCTTAAATGTACCATAAGTGAGCCCCTCATTTTAAAAGTTTTAGGACATAAATGACAATTATAGCTTGAAAACTTGTTATCAGATTTGTCATCCAAATTGTGCAATAAACATTTGTGCATTTTTAATATGTTGGAATCAATGAAGCGCAAACCACATACATTGCATTTATGATCGGGATTCTGTGTACTTGTTTCAGCTTGTACAGATGGTACATACGTGGGGTTATTGTTCTGAACACATCCATCCACAGCACCCTGTATATCTATAATAGGAACCGTATTCAAAGAAATCACTGGCAATTTTGGATATATTTTAACAAACTTAACTGGCGCTGAAGTCGCTGGTACTTTATTTTTAGACGGCGCCGTTCTTGTTTTCTTTAGCGTTGTAGGAGGTATTTGACTTCCCTGTTTTATTTCTTCAGATTTTGTTTTCGTCTTTTCACCAAATTTCAACGATTCTTGAGATGATATAAACGAAACGTGACTAAAGAGATGTATAGTTAATTTATCCAGTCCCGACAACGACTCCTGACATATTGGACACGTTATGTTGTTGGTGGAGACGTAGATCAATCTATCTTTTAATGCTTGAGCCGAGTTGAAAACACCAGTATGTAAACATATTGGACACGGTAGGGACGCTGCGTCGGCACTCATTTAATTGAAATTTGAAACAAAAAACGCCGTTCAATTTTGTGAACTATGTGTTGCTACGATGGCACGAAACTGAACCATCCGCACGTTATTTTTAGAGCGCTGCGCGAACTCTTTTGGCGGCATTTCAAGAAATTTTATTACCTATACGAATCGGATTCTTGAGCAGGACTCCAAAATTAACAATTGCCGTTAAAATTTTGTTACAATTAAAATAAAAAATATCTGTGCCAAAATCGTATTACCTAAGCCTTATAAGACTATTATAACGGTCTGATAATGTACACAATCAATTTAATATTGTTTTCGAATTGTTTATTTTATAAGAAATGGAAATAGTAAAGGAAGAGATTAGACGGATCTTTATTTAATTTGTGTAACGTGCGATCATGATCATGAGAAATGTCCGGCAATGGCTGCCGTTACTTTTAGCTGTACTACAAGTGTGATACATGGTTGTATGTTTATATTTGAATCAGTAGCTATAAATAGTATACTTAATATATTATAGTATGTATGGTCGGAAGACTTTGGTAGTTATAAGACCAAGAGCAACGTCATATTGAAATTCACAGTTGCACATATTTTTTTAACATGAACCATCCATACTTTCTTCGGTATTCCTATAAACTCTACTCTCAAAATAGAAATGTAGACAAGATGGCGAAATGGAAATTAAATGTGGCAATACTTTCAGGCTTAACATATTTATCTTGTCTACGGTTTACGTTAAGAGCGTCCAACTTTCTGTTGTCAACAAAAAGTCAAAGTCAGAAACAAAATACGGCATGACGTTTGTTTGTTTACTTTTGACTTTTCATTTATCGATTGTTTGTTTACAAGTTTCTAGGTTTCAAAGATGACGTCTAATTTGTTGGTTCGATTAAAGTAATTGGATTTCGTATATGTGATAAGATTGAGCCCATCAGAAATTTGTACATTTTTAATTTTTATTTTATTCTACGACAATGAGTGCACCCGAGAAGGTACCGGGTTACATGGCTCAGTTACTTGAGGAACTGGGATGGAATCAGGGAACAAGAATTCCGTTAGCCGACACCAGTAACAGTAATTTAGAAACAACATTAATTTCGAGGTAAGCTTTTTTTGTAAATTGAAAATAGATATTTTAACAAGAAAATGTTTTGGTTTTCTAAATTTGTTTCTTTTCAGACAAAATGAAATCCAAGCCTTAAAAGAAGCATTATCCTTACAGCTACAAAAACGTAGTGATCTTAATAAATACAAGGATTTTGTACATACTGAATATCAAGAAAATACTGTAAGTATAATCTCGTAATATCAATTTTATCAAAAATTGAATGTAGTTTGTTATTTTTAAATTTCCTTTGAATTCCAGCGTCTCCTATTTGCTCAGAAGCAACAGTTAGAGCAGGAAATAAAGATACATCAGTTATCAAAGAAAGAAGCTGACCGACTTGACAAGGATGTGGTTGAGTCCAACAAAGAAAGTAGCGCTGCAGCCACTAGGATTGACAAGCTACAAAGTAAAGTTTTTTAAACTTCTGATGATGTTTAGATATTTTATATAATAGCACAATCCACTGATCAATAACAGGTCTGTATTATTAGTTATTTTTAAATATATTCATAGTTTTTAAGGCTGGACTTTTGCCATGTGCCAGATACTAAGAAAATATAGAAAATAAAGTAAGTTTCTTTCTGTAAAAATATGTAGCTAAAATGCATAAATCAGAATTATTCACCTGCACCTTTTTATGCTAAATAGGCACATGAAACACTTGTTATTGTAAATTTGCACTTAATGCTTAGCACATTACTACATATTTGTGCTATATATATTTACAATTAATAAATAATAGTAGAGCAATAAAGTACTAGAAGCTTCAATGCATTTTTTTATAATTTCCTCAAGTCGTCATGTTTTATTTTTCCCAGCCAATATTGCACGTCTTTTGAAAAAGGCGGATACATTGAAGAGTGAAGTGTGCGGGGAGCGCGGCGCGCTGCAGGAGTGGCGAGCCGCGCTGGAGAGGAATGCCAGCGATATTACTGCTATCGAACAGTTCACTAAACAGGACCTGTCTAAAGCTAAAGTATTGCATTATTCTACAAAAAAAAACTAAATAATTTAAAGGTGGATGTAAATAGCCTATATGTTTCTCCAGACTATGTCCTACATCTCAGTCAAATTGCATCAAGATCTGTTCAGTTGTTTTGGAGATCTTTAGTAATGAACATAAATCTATCCATCTAAACTTTCGTATTTATAATATTGGTAAAATTATAATGAATATCATTATTTTGTAGAGTCTAGAGACAAAGCGGCTGCAGCTGAAGCAGGAGCACGACCGCCTGCGAGACCGCCTCAACCAGCTCGTGGGCAACTTGAGCGCGGAGGAGCGTGCCTGCGAGAGGATCTCTGTGCAGGTTATATTATTTAGCTGTTCCTCACGTCATTCGAAATTAAATTACAAAAACTTTATTTTATTGTTTAAATTTGTAAAACTTTCAATTGAAAATGTTAAAATTCATATGACAACGGCCTTTACTATAGGATAATAATTACCGTTACTATAAAAAGTTCCTTTTGGCTGCTATTTGCTTGTAGCTTTTGTACCTTTTTCGCATAACATTGTTTTCGAACTTATCCTTTTTAAATAAAAACAGCGTAAAAATAGATAGATTATCTTTTGAGTTAGTCGACTAACTGTAATTTGTACTCAATTTAGCGGTATCTTGCAATTTCACTTAGAATAGAAAATAAACTTGAGTGTTGTAATTAGTGTAACATATTTGTATAGGTGATGGAGGGCATGGAGCAGAGGAAGCAAATGATGTCGATGTGGACCGGCGCGGTGGAGAACCTGCGGCAGCGGGATGTCGACATTAGACATATTAAAGAGGTAAATTCTAACACCTGCTAGACGAATTATAAAAATACATTGATATAAACTTACTTTTTACTAATATTATAAAAGTACTAGCTGTTACCGTGCGGCTTCATCCGCATGACATTATGAAAAAAATATTTTATTGTTTACGTTTGTCAAATTATCAATTACAAATGTCAAACTGACATCACATGACAAACCTTGGCAATCTTGTTATCTCGATGTTGGCAGCAACTTATGGTCTCTCTCCCACATTAGGGTTTATATCCAAAATATTTACCCTCTAAGTTTATTGACGTGAAAATATATAGCCTAAAGCGTGACGTAGGTGTAGGGCTTTTTATTAAAAAATGAATTATTTAAAAATATGCTGTAATTGCTGACATCTTAGGCAACAAAGGAGTTTTTGGTTAACGCTTTATTATAATAGTATAGATAAGTATAAAAGGATGGATGGATATCTGTTAAGCCGAGTACAGACACTAAATTTTAAAGGTTTAACAAGAATCGAACTATTTAGTAAACTGGGCATGAGTAGACAATGATTTATATAAGACCTTTACGTATGTAGTGGGCATTAAAACGTACTTTAGAACGTTTTAACGTTTTTAATTCCGCCCAAATGAAGTCGTTTGGCAAAAGTTGGTCTAGTAAGTGTTGAAGCGTTATCCCCCCAGTTGAGGGTGCTGCCAATGGCAGCTG